AGGAGAGCTTTGAAATGTCTATAGCCATACGAAGTGACATAATTAAAAACCTCTGAGTGCCTCTGTGATATAAGACTTATATATATTTATTTATACATATTTATAAGTCAGACTGTTATATACCCTTAGAATTCATGAAAAAGAAATCTCAGCAATTATACTGAGAAATAATTACTGTAAATTCAGACTACAGTGTTGGTCAGGGCTACAGGAAAACATCAGATTTATTTTCCTCAAAATGGTCTTCACATTTGATATAGTGCACCAAGAAACACCCAAAAGCTTATCTGTGAAGACAAATTTTATAAAATGGAAGCAAAAATAGCATTTAAAAATGTTTTGTAAATCATGCATATTTTAGGAAAAAATTTAATTCACTGTAAAAACACAGAAACCATAACTTTCTCGGGGATTCATTCATGCAGAACTCTGTCCAAGACTATTCCAGAAATGGATAGTGTTAAATTACTAGATTCAAACAGTTGTGCCTCACTGTTCTCTTCCAGTCATTAGTGCACACACAAAAAAACGTTTCTAGAAAACACCTCTTTCTACCTCTTCTGTGTTCTGATACCAAGGTCAAATATAATTTTCAATACTGTTTATGGTGTATCTTACAAGGAGACTATCAAGTGGGTGAAGTTGCATCATTTTGCTAAATTCAACATTTCCTAGGAAACAGGAATGCTGCCTCCCACCTATCCAAATATTTTGAGGCTATTAAATGTCTACATGTCACATGAAATAGGAGTTTTAGACTCTTTTTAATAAAGTAGCAAATATAAAAGGGGAAGGAATTAGCATGGGAAACATAATGTAAACACTCTTCTGTATTGGATAAAGCTATGGACATCAATCACTATCCTTCCCAAAATAGAGTATACTGTACAAAGACAGCATGTGACATTCAAGTCACAATGCCTATAAATATAGATAGTTCCAGTTGTAAACACCACCAATGGAAGCCAGAGAACTAACCTGCAGCACAGTAGCCGGTGACCCAGGAGTCACTCTTCTATAAGACTGCTAGACCAATTCTGACCCTTTCACGATAACACCATTGCTTAAGTTACTTAAAGACTGACCTTTCTTATTTGATCTTCAAAGACCCTGCATGCTGAGAAAGACCATTGCGGGCTATTTCAGTAGGACAACTGCCTGATGCATGCAAGACTATGCTATTCCAGAGATTTATATTTGGAACAGAAACAGAAAACTTAAAACAGACTCTGTATAGTGATAAATGATGCTACTCTGCCTAGCTGTGGCTGCTGAAGAAAAACTAGATAACTAAGCAACAGAAATACATGCAGCGAGGGAGGGTGAGGACAGAACTCTGTGCACCCAAATACTTGGAAATTTAGAGAAGAGACCTCCATCACTTTGTGTGTTCAAATACATGATAACAAAAATCAGAATGGAAAGTATTCCCTGGTCCTAATTTTTATACAAAAAACAGCACCGCAAAAGCTGGGCATAAGCCTAACAAATTGCTTGTATACATTAAGTAAATGTATTTGCATGCACACACTGGCAAACAGCATACCATCAAATGATTTGCATAGGCAGCTGTGGGGTTTTTTCCAGGTGAGCAGGTCATTTAACTCAGCTCAACTGCTTCATAGACCTTTGAAAATTTGACCTATGTGTTTCATTTATAAACATATCAAATGAACAAGCAGACGTATTTAACCACTGGAATTTGGCCACAAAGCATTCTGCCAAATACTCCTCTGAGTTTCATGCAACCTCCCTGAAGTCAATGGTTTGTTTGGCTGGAATTCAAAGAAGAATCGGGACCATTATCAATAACTGAAATCCTAATAAAGAAACTCAGAAAACGCAGTTTTACAAATGAAGCACAGTATACAAGACCAATTGTGAACAGGAACAATCACACTCAGAGAAAAAATAAACAATTCACTGTTTGTTACTTTTGTATTGGCTTCTGTTGTTTGAATTAATAGACATAGTTCATAATTATATCCTGATTAACACTATTGTGTTCTAAATATAGAAGGTAAAGCAAGAAAATACCATTTTTATCTGTTTCTCTCAGCCAATTATCTTTTCTTCTCATCTATGTGCTTCCCAAACATGAATAGAAACAGTTTGTGTCAGTGGTACTTTTTTTTTTCCTGCTTTCATCCTTTTTTCTGGCACTGCTTCTTAGTGAACTGCCTTCCCACAACCAAGATGCTAGTCTTTCACTGAAGGGGGGAGGGTTGTAGTTGTGCAGACACAGAGGAAGAGTATGTGCTCAGGTTATCCTTAGCAAGAACGCCGCCTTCTCTCTAAAATAAACAACTCCCAGTAACAGTCAGTGCAAAGAGCAGTTCCCCACAGGACCACACCTCACTTTCGTATAATCAAGATTTTTGTCCCTAATGACCTCATTTATTTATTTTTACTTCACTGCTTCATGTCTTTAAGTTAGGCTCTCAGTAATACAGGCAGAAAGTCTACACAAAAGCCAAAAATATCAGCCTGTTAAATAAATTGATTCAGAATCTAATGGAAATTAAGGAAAAAGATATTTGACCTCCCAAAGACAACACATTTTCAAAAGTAGTTCTTTCAGACCTCAGCATGTCCACCCAGTTACCTAACTGGAAATTCATTCAGCAGTATGAAAATGAATTTATAATTTGGAAATCTACCACCTTGAACGTGGAAAAGTTGTTTGTTTTTTTTTTTTTAAGTATTCTTCTTTGGCAGATTAAAAATTCTCTCTGGTTCCCCTATTTTGCCTGATTTCCTTCTCATAATCTGGTTTTCATGCTGCTATGGTCTAGATTCTTGGCTTGTTTTTTTTTCTTTATGAGACAATTTGAGGCACACAAATGCTAATATGAGTTAATACCAGGCTATTAGATTGATAGTGATTTTATTAGCCAGGAGCTAACCAGCCTGAAGACAGTGGCTAGGCCACTGGCTTGGGAGCCCAAAGGAAAGGATTTCTGCTTCAGACCTGCCACTGCTCCTGCTATGTAACTCTGCACCTTGTTTTCTTCTTCTATAAAATGACATTAATGTCTTTGTCAAGAGGTTTGAGTATAGTAAATGTAATTCATGACATAACAGCAACCGTTATTTATCTCCCATGTTTGTGTATGGTTTTTTGTATTTTTGCTTGTTCATGAAAAATGATAAAAGCAGTTGCAGTAGCAAAGATTCAGTATTGTGTCTTGCTGGAAGTCAGCTAGTAGTGGAGAGGAATACTGCAGACATTAAGACCACTTAAGGATCAGTTTCTAGGGATGAGACACAGGAAGTAAGTTGTGAAAACTAACTGTCAACACAGAAATCTGGTGAGCCTAATCAGGTGATCCGTTTTGTACAGCTAATAGGCTATACCCCCCAGAAAATGTAGTTGAATGACTTGAAAATTATTCCAAATCAGAGTGAGAATGCTTTGTAAGTAGATGAGAAAAGGTTTAAGAGCAAGAACTCCATGCATTCACTCTGCAGTGAATATACACTAAGAAGAGGGACAGCATAGGTCCAGAAAAACAAACTTTTTTTTTTTTTTTAATAAATGAAAGCTCATGACAAAGCTTTTTGTGCCATATAAAAGAATAAAGAACATTATTCTGCATTGCTAGAGATCCCACCTCTTTTAATTTTGATTCACTATTAGCATTCAAGTAGTTTCTATTTTAAGACTAAGTAGCTATATCATGCAATTAATGGACAAACTAGCATTCAATGTTTTCCACACTATTAAGAGACAATACGGCTTTAAATAGAATGTGATTTGAAGACATAATTTTGTTGGATTTTATTACAGTCAATGTTAACATGTTCCTGTAAAATTGCATACTATATGTCTGCCACTGACATTACTATAAGATTTCTTACCTAATATATACGCATTGTCATAATTCTACCAAAAAAATCCAACAAGGGAATCCAGCAGATTTTGGTCCTGAATCAGCTGAAGGAACCAATTATAACTTGCTTATTAAAAAGAGCCAATCTTTCATCTGTTTGTATAATAAAAAAAACAAACCACCCTAATTTTCCCTGGTGTAAATGTAAAACCCTAAGCATCAGTTTTCATCAAATAGTATCTTTCTTTCTTTTTTTTTTTTTTCTTTTAACATTAGTAAAGATTTATTGATATGATCCACATGACTCTCTGTTTCCACATATTTGTAGTTGCAATATAATAAAATTACACAAATGAATAGAAATAAATCTTCGGTACCTTGTGTACTCCTCAAACATGCCTTATGACCCCTTCTCACAGCACAAAACCCCACCTTTTTAATTTGTTGCTTAATCAATAACACTGAATTTCTTCTTACTAAAAAAATCCATGGAAGAATTGATGGGTGGGGAAAAACACTTCAAGTTTTCTACACAGTATTTAATTGTCAGGAGAATTCCACTTTCGCTAGATTGCTGGTTCAACAAATCTTGGAAATACTGGAAAGTACTGTCTATATATGCAGTAAAACTTGCACTGATTTCAGCAGGTTCCAAATTTCATTTAGAGATGCTTTGTCTCTACAGGAATAGCATGAATATAAACAAATATTCTTTTCTTTCCTGATTTTGAATCAAAGATTTAGAACAGTAATCACACAATTACCCCCTTTTATAATCTGAAAGCAGTTTCTACGTATAGTTTCTGCAACTGGGAAGAAAAAGTACCAAGTACTAGTAACTCCATGTTTTCAAGATGTTTCTTCCTCTTCCTCTGGTCACAGAGATATATAGCAAATGTCAGTGAACTAATGTAATGAACCTGGTGTTTGTGATAACAACCTTGATACTGCTTATAACTGATTGTGAAATACTCCAATTTATTTATTTGGCAGATGCATGCATCAGCTCAAAGATAAACATTAAAAACCAGGGTGAGTTGACTGGAAAGAGGAAAGCACCCTTTAGGTATGATTGTTATTTCTGTTATAATTTCTGAACTTTAAAAAAATCATCAATCCCCTTTATAAAATATATGCAAACATTTAAAATTTGATCCAGCGAGATACCTTTAATTTCTCCAAGGAGATCACTTGTGTTTAATTTTTCCATCTTCTCCTTCCAGTCTTTAGAAAGTAGCTTTTCCATGCAGGATGAATCTATTTAAAAAAAAAAAAAAAAAAAAAAAAAAAGAAAGAGGAATTATCAAATATATTCTCACACATCAGGAAAACAGGTGCCACCCTTCATTTTAAAACTGTTCTCTCTGTTCTAGTTGGACCATAGTTTCAAGGGGAAATTAACTTGTAGCCAGACAGACTTCTTATTTAACTGCATTTTAAATCCAAAGTAATTCCACCGAGGTTAATGGAGTTACTATGGATTTAACAAGGGTCTAATTGAAAGAAAAACTTCATTCAGGATTTATGCATGCTAACTGCCAATTTACATGCATAGATTGCCAATGTATATACAAATTCTGTCTTTTTCATTTGAGAATGATTGTACACTCAAAATTATACATGAAGATTTAGAAGCTTTTTTTGGAAATTTGGCACACAGTGACATCTGAAACCCATTTTTATACCCATGTCAATGCAAAAGTTATTCATATAAAGTCTCCATGGAATTCATAAAAGCCCTCTTCATATTAGATGTTCACAGTATCAGAAATTTTCTCAGTACACTATAAACAACATGCAATGATTAGAGATAGGCTTTCATAATTTGAAGTTCAGAATACATTTCAAATCTTTGCCCCAATCTGGGAGGCCTTCTTTAGGCAAAACTGTCACTGAAGTCATTGCACTTAGGAGAAAGTAGAAGATTGGCCTTAGTAAGTTTCCTATGATCAGACCCTGATTCCGCTGGAAAATTTGATATTGAGTGTAACAGACTTCAACAAAATCTAAAGGTTTTTCAGTTCCTAAATTAAACTAATTGGCTCTGAAGTGTAAATTATACATAAGCTTTCAGGTAACTTACAAAAGGTAATTTTTAAAACGAATTCTTGTGGTTGATGTTGTGATCCAGAGTTTTATGACTTTAGGAACCACAGCTCAGATTTATAAATCATTATCACGGAAACATTACACACAATTTAACACTTCTTTTCCCTTCCCATTTAGTAATAATAGAATATCCATTAAACATTGTATATTCACTTTCATTGGTAGACAGATTCATCAACAATGTGCTAAACTCCTTGGAAACCCTTAGGCCCAGTTTAACAAGATATCAGAAACTTCATTTAAATGCAACTCTATTCCTAAAAAGAATATTTGCAAAGAGCCTTCATTATAAGACCACATGTCACTCCAGGTGATACTGAGCATGTTGTTTCTTTGTGCATACACTGGGAACAACCATACACCTTAACCTGTTAGAAACTCTCACAGCAAGCTGCCGTTTGGGTTAGGAGGAGATCAATTTACACAATGCTCTCTAAGTGACGAATAATATTCCAAATTTTAACAATATTTCTACTGATCCCAGTCCAGTCATTTATGAACTAACACTGGGGTGCACAAAGCGGCAGAATTCAGCCTAACATATCTTCCTCTAAATTACTGGTAGATTAAGGCCAAATCGTGGCTCAAATTCTCGTGTCATCAGTCCCATCAGAAGCACTCGCACCAGTGAAAACAAAAGCAAAAATTCCAGCTCAAGAATGGCGACACAGATCACTGCAATGCAATGGGTAACAGTTTGTTCCACCTCAGAGGATTATAAAAAATACTCAGAGGGAAGAAAACCATTCAAGAAGGTCACAGGAGGAGGAGTTAAAGATTTAGGGAGAAGTTTAAGGAAGAAAAAGGTCATATGGGCAATCATAGGTTGCAAGTAATTTCAGACTAAAAATTCACATTAGCATCACTCATTTGAAACAAACAAAGAAAGAAACAAACACACATCAAAAAAAAAAAAAAAAAGAAAAACAAACAAACAAACAAAAAACAGTTGAAAGCAAACCAAACTGTAACTACCAAAAGATCAAAGATCAGGTTTTAATTGCAACACATTTTCACCGTGTAAACCTCCGTGGAAAGACAACACAGCTCAAAATGTTTTTGAAGTAATATTTCAGTAGAAAAGCTAATTTATTTACTAATTATATCTTTCTGTGAAAGAGACAAAATTAAGGAGCTGTAAGTTGCAAAAGGCAATGTTAAAATACTTGTTATATAATAACAATTTACTTTTAACAATAACAGGCACTTATTACTTTTATGAGTTCTGGCCTGATAATAGAAGAATCAAGAAATAACCATCAATTATCAATAGAACATTATAATTTGTCCTTTTTTGTGATATCATCATTAGTTTAAAAAGATGTTTCCGTATTTCTCTCCTGCCAAAATTTCAGACCCCTCATCCCTGAAAAAAAAAAGAGCTGTAGAATTTTATTCAGAGTTTATAGATGTTTGCTATAAGTTATGTATTCTACTGCTTTTTAGCTATTTTCATCAAATTATACAAAGAAGGAAAAACATTACAATTTTTAAAAATTAAACAATTAGCATATCACAGGATTTGATAAAATATCTTCCTCAATAGTACTTGCTTTATTTCTTCCCTTACTGTTCTTAAGAACACCTATGTTTATCTGTAGTGTTGTTATATTACATAAGGGCAAAAACCATATTTCTAAAGACAGACTGAGAAAGAGCTGGAATGGAAAACAGGTCTATTTGTATTCCTTTTTTTGGATAATCACATTGCTAGTTACAGTTTTTATTTCTATAAATGACTGAAAAATTCCTTAAGAAACATTTCTTTAAACACTCCTATCTCATTCAAATTCTATGTTATAGCTCTGACCACACAATTTATAGCTACTGTTATTGGGAAGATTAGAAAAACACAAAATAAGCCTTTTAATAAACTTTTTTATAACACTGTAAAAATAGCTCTTTTGAAATTCCTGTAAATTTTCAATTAGCAGGTTTAATCTGTATGATTTTTAGAATTTAAAATAATGATGTGCTAAAGCTCTCTGGAGGTCCTCCACATTAGACACAAAACTAAACATAAAGGCTTATACTTGAAAGGCATGTCTCCCTTCAAGTTCTGTATTCTGTGTTCACAAACACACATTTTGAAAGGTTTGTGAATCAGAAAGGGATTTTTTTCTTCTTTCTCTACTGAAAATTAATTTCTACATACATATAAAATCTATAAAGATATCTTCTGACATCAGTAAAATGTCTTCATCCATATTGATTCATTTTCTGATTTGATTCATTATAGAAACAAAACATCGACTCAGAATCCAGCACTGAACATTGAAGAAGCCCGAATTCACATCTGCACTGCATCACTCCCTGCACTGAGGCTCTGCTTCAGCACCATTCCAAAACCTTGTGGATCCCGACATTTTCAAAATTCAGGGGTATTCTTGTTAAAGACAATTATAAAAGAAGCAAAGAAAGAAATTAGCATTTATACATTTTTAGCTCTTCTCACTGACTTTATAAACCACAGTTGGGTTTATGCTGCAAAGTAGCATATTTTGTACTGACACATAGAAGATCAAACTCGTGAAGTTGCACTGGAGCAATTTATTATATTAACAACACACAGCTTCTCATCCTTTATATTCTTCTCTTGTGAATTAGGAAAAAATTTCTTTCAAGGACAGAAAACAGGTTAAGTATAATTAGACTGAGATGACTAAATGAAATCATTGAGTATTATTTAATATCATGGTTTATTACATACTTGGTTAGCAATTTTAATTGTAGACTAAAGGAATTTAAAGTACTGTGAGAATCTTGTTAGACATGACAGTTCTGCAAAGGTGAATGAGAAGAGGATGTTAAAAGATAAATAAGCAAGGAAAAAAAAAAAAAAAAAGCCTAGGTGTTAGATGAAAAGGATCTCTCCACAATGACAAAGCATTGATGAAAAGAATTAACATTTGTCCATTGGGTAATCAATCAGTCATGGAATGGATGGAATCCAGCTCTTTGTTGCACGACCAGTGATGAAGAACAAGTGTGTTAGCTATCACAGCCAAGCTCTCAAGTTCTTCCGACTGAATGAAAGTCATCTTGTTCCTATCAAGGATAGCTTTTGCCTTGTCTCTTCCTTATTCTTCCCTTTTTTTCTTCTTTTTTTTTTTTTTTTTTAATTTCACTTTTACAGTCTTCAACAAGTTACAAATCCCAGCTATAGCTTACATGAATACTGTATGACCTTACAGTGGCCTGCACCTATGCTCATCGATTCTGGAGGACTGTTCCCTTTCTTTTTTTTTTTTTTAATTCACTGAAGTACCCTCTTATTATTTTCTTTGAAACACAGATATGAGCAAAAAAAGAAGCATTCATGCTGTGTGTGTGTTTTTGTTTTTTATGGTAAAGTCATACATAAAAGAAAGCCTAAACGTGAGAGTGCAGCAGCAAAACTTCAAAGAACTGACTGTCAGACATTATTATTTCAAATCAGCTTTGACTTTTTGAGACTTAATAAAACACTATAGTACAGACTGGCATATTTATAACACCTACACCAGTGATCAACTGAACTGTCTTATTCTTGCTGCTGTGCAGTGCCTTGTTATTTCTTTTATAATACACTTCCCTCAAAACATGTTGTAACAATACTGCAAACTGATAATTATTAATGATATGGGTTCTAAAACATGACTTGTTTTGCATACAATTCTTTCTGAATACATACATTACTTTGTGACAGAAGACAAAAGCACATTGATTTATTAATAATGATTGCAAATGCATAGCAAGTTCATAAACAATACAGAAATATAATTTAATCAAAGGTATAGGTGACATATTTCTACATGCATCTGAACTGTTACATCTCATGGAAAGAGGCACTGGGAAAGACAAGGTAGAGGAACTAGAAGAGAAATCATGCATACTACAAGAGAAACTGTTCTAAAACATGATCAGATCCACAGTAGGAGGAGCGTAAACTTCTTTTCTGCATTTTAGAAGAACAATACTACAGAATTAGTGGCAACTTTGTCTCCATTTCAGAACTATAGTCTACAGTTATACCCCATGACAATTTACTAGATATTACTAAACATAGAAAGACCATATTTTTTCAAGCTTTGGGACTACATAACAATACGCAAGTTCCTCCATCTCTACTGTTCTATATTCTCTAAGCTACTCTCATTACTTTTATT